AGGAAATTATGGGGAAATGAACGAAAAATAATTATTTTAATGAGTTAGAGGCCTCAATAAATTTGAAAGATTGATGAAAAATTCATCTAAATATTTATTTAAATTATAAAAAAATTTTTAGGACTTAGAAGCTCAGGAATTAATTTTAGAGAATTTATTTTTCTTCATAACTACCGATAAAGGCCTAATTAGAGAAAATTCAAAATAAATACCTAGAGGTGGTGAAAAATTATGAAAATTTTCAGATCATGTTCCTATATTAAAAGGTGAGTGAGTTATCATGGAGAGAAATGAATTTTTTGAGGTCTGGAAAAATTATGGAATGTTACTAGTGAATAGTAACCGATAAAGTTTCAAATTGGTTTTTGAGATAGTGATTTGGTTTGTGAGCCATATTTTTGGGTCAGGCCAAACCATTTGTGGGGCCCACAATGGACCCATTAAAGGCCCAATTTCGTGCACTTTTCAGATTCCACCATTTTTATTAATAAAATGCAAAATTAAAGGATATTTGTGTGGAAAAATCTAGAGAAATGCCACATGGTGAGATCTGAAGGTTGAGGCACTTGATGGCTGCCAACACACCTCCTTATCTGTCATTTGAGCATGCTAATTAGGGGGGGGAATGTCAGAATTTTTGGTCTACAAATACCCCTTGAAAATACAAAGAAAATGTTGGAAAATTGGGGAAAATAAGGGGAAACTCTGTCACTGTTCATCCAGCCCTGTTGCACGAAATTCTTGAGGAGTTTTAGGCAAGAAATTATCCAACTTACTTCAAGGAAACACACTAAAGTATATCCAAGCATCAATATCCCTAAGTTTTACATTGATTAAACAGGGATTTTTGCTTGGAAAAATTCTGGAAAAATGCTGAAAAAATTCTGAAAAAATCGGTTGAGATGTGTGATGCTTAAGAAAGGATAGAAACCTAATAATTAAGTGGAATAAGGAAGATTAAGTGGTGTATGGATTGATTTTTGGATGAAATCAAAGTTAGGGTTTAAGGGGAGAATTTTTGTTCAGCACTGTTCATGCAGAACCAAATTTTATTTTATTTGATTTGATGATTCCAATGGCTTTAAAACATGTTTTTTTTTGTAGGGATATGTTATTGGAAAGTGTTTAAAATCATTGGAATCAAAAATAGAATTTTTGGAAAATTAAGGACCCCTCTTCAGCCAAACCAGGTTCATGGAGAAGGAATGTGATTTTCAAAAATATGATTGCACCATTGAATTCCTCATGAAAAATTGTGTAGGATTGAGTCATGAGGTGATTTATTCTAAAGAAGGAATCAATTTGTTAAAAAATCAAAGAAAAAGGGAGGAAATTGTTAAGTAATGTTAAAAGTGTTGGAACTAAGTTGTCTTGTGATTAATATGGCCTATGTTTATGCTTGGTTTAATAGGCATTGAGAGGAGGAATTAAGGAGAAGCATTGCTCCTTGGAGGAATTAATTGGACAAGCTTTGCAAAAGTAGCTTTGAATTATAATTTGATTATTGATCTTGCTTGTTTGTTGTGATTGTTGTTGCTTGGATTGGAGGAACTTTGTGATGGCCTTGATTGCTTGATTGATATTGGTTATGCTTTGGCCAAATGCTTTGTGGTATGTCAATGTGGATAACATAATGTTCCTCTCCTTGCATGATACGTGGTATGAATTCCTATGAGTTGGGAATGGTTTGGATTGCATGACATTTCCGATTAAACTTGTATTGATTTACATGATAATTATAATTCATATGCTACTGAGATTTCTTTGAAATCTCATTCCTCCTATGTTATTTTATGCCCTAATTAGGAAGTGGACCAAGCATGGAGCAAGGGAAAGAATTGGCCTTGGTATGAAATGGCTTTATGAATATTATGTTATGTTAGAAATTTGTATAAAGTATGCCAAACTTTATGTTGATTCTATGATAAGTTATGGATGACATTTTGATGTAATTTATATTGCTATTTCATGTTCCAATGTTGGAACTATGCTTGAGGCATTGTGAAAGGATTGTGGTTGAAGGAAAAAGGGGAAATAAATCAAGAAAATGGTAATTAGGAGATAAAATTATCTAAAAAGTGCCAAAATGTGGCACATAAAATAATAAGCAATTGTTGGATTTTGAGCATGAAATTTTACAAGCAAACAGATCTCATTTTTAGCTTTAAAACAAGTGATAATTCATCAAATTTGGAGTTGTGCTAAGAGTTATGCCCTTCCAAAGTTGGGCAAAAATACTGAAAATTTGAAAATTTACCAAATGAATAGTACACTTTGACAAATTTCTTGGAATTATTCTGGATGGAATGGATTAATAATTATTATTTTTTGTCCATGGAACTCTTAGCAAGCTTCGTGTGAAAATTGGAACCACCTCGTTTAAATTTCTCTAGAATTAGTTATGAATTTTCAAAATTGGCCCATTTTCAGATGAACAGTGTACAAACAGTATGAATAGTGAAATCCTGAAATTTAAAATTTCTCATCCAGAAATGCTACGAAACGACTTATAATAGTTCTAATTGACATATAATAGATATTAAGAGAGGGTGACATGAGAATAGAATTGTTGGAACATAGTGTTTAAACTTTGTTCTTGGAAGAATTTCAACTTGTGAAATCTAGAATTTCAATTTAGCCAGACCTAGTCTATTGAGCTACGGTTTGGTTTTTGTTAATTTGATACTTCTGATGAGTTTAGGAGCTTTAATTGTTCAGGGATGTGTGAAGAATATGTGTTTGGAAACATTAAAATTGAAAATAAAATTTTTAAATTTCAAGAGTACCTCTCAGCCAAGCTTGATTATAAGAGAAAAAATTGGATTTTGATAAATCTAAATTTATATATAGATTCTACATGAAAAATTATATAGGAAAAACCTAAGAGAGTTGTTAAAACAAAGGAGAAATAATAACCCTAAAGAATCAAGAAAAGGGTGAAGGGAGATTAGAAAGTGTTTGATGTGGTATGAGTTATAATGCGGAATGTCCTATTGCTTGATTAATATGCATTGGGCAGTTGCTGAGTAGGAGTATCAAGAGAAGAAGCTAAGAGGCAACAAAACAAACTCAAAAGAAGGTAGCTAGAACTTCTAACTTTTATGTTAACTTTGCATTGTATGTTTGCCATTTGTCTTGGTGCCATGATGTGATAGAGCTCGTAATTTTGAAATGTATTGAACTTCTTACATTTATATCTTGGCTATATGCATTGTTAAGTTATTTTAAGGCATGTTGTTTTCCTCCATTACCATGGTATGAATTTTGCAAGAAAGCATATTGATAGCTAGAAATATGGCATAACTTACTTTGCATGTTTGGCATTACTATTGTGGTTACATGCTATTGAGATATCCCCAAAATCTCACCCCTTTCTATGCTCAAATTTCCCCACTTAGGAGCTGGAAGTACAAGAGGAAAGGCAAGAAAGTGGCCTTAGCTTGAGGAAGAATACTATATGTTTTTTTTTATATGACTTTTAAACCTTTCTTCATGTATTGCGTAAATTAGTAGTAAAAGTGGAAGAATGACTCAATGACCACATTACTTTGTAAGTTATAGTTGAAGTATGGTTAGTTGATGCTATGCTTAAGAAATGACTAGTATAAATTAATATAGCATGAATTTGCAAAAATAGAGCTAAAAAGGGATAAAAGTGACCTATCAAGGGAGAAGGACGGTAAAAATGCTTCTTAATGGAAGGAAGAGTTTGAAGGGAAGGGAAGGAATCGCAGCCCATCGGATTTGGCGTCAACAAGGCTCGTCAATGTGGTCTTGGGTAAGGACAGTTTGGCCGATGGTCATGCCGTTGGTGCTATGGTGTCGATGACGGAGATACCTATGATCTTGTTGTGACACTTTGTGGAAGATCAAGGGTTTTGCATTGAGAGGTGAAGGTTGAAGTGGACGGAAGTTATGGTAGACAGAGAGCTTCTGGAGTTTTTTTTTTTTTTTTTTTTTTGCTCCTTAAAAGTATGAGTTGGCCCTAAGTTGGCAAAAAAAAGTGACGTGTACGCCACATGGAGATGCCACATCAACATAAATGGTCAACTAATGTTTGACTGTTTAGATCAGTTAAATCAGAGTGTCATTGCTATGTTTTGCAAACTTTCAGGGCTGACATTGCTCCAAATGAAACTTTCAGATATTGATAGTTCTTAACTGAACACTTCCAAGATAAAAATAGACCTTATCCCAAAAAAATGGTTGTGGTTATTTTAGAAAAATAATGACACCTAGATTTGGGTCCAAAATTGAAAATAGTTAAACTGAAGCAGTATAAGGAAATTTGAGTTTGCAGTTTTATTTAATTTTCAAGAAAGAAGGGGTCTTTCCTTTTTGCCGCTTTCTTATAGTCAATATAATAAAAAAATAAAAAAGGCATTCTATTACATTCAAAATGATTTTGGTTAATGGGTGTTTGGGATATTTCCAAACACCAGTGGAGCATGATAAATTTTCAGAAAATGAGATTGTTAGGGCTTATTAGGAGAACGTTCAATTAATTATAAAGCTTTTTGTTTGACAAAAAAAATATATCTATTCAAAATATATTATCAATATAACAAAAAATATTTTTTAAAATGTAAATTTGTCTTGAAAGTTTTTACTTAAGAGCATTTGGCACTACCCAAAAGTCTTTTGGGTACAAATTTCCTCCAAAAGTTTAAAATTGTGGCAATTGTACCCTATACTATTACAAAATTAACTTTATCTGTTAAAAAAATGACATTGACAGTTAACATTTTAACCGTAGAGAGACAAATTGCTACAATTTTCAACTTTCAGAAAAATTTGCATCCCAAAAAACTTCTAGGTACCAAGCATTCGTAAGTGAAAATTTTAGGACAAATTTGCCCTTTAACCATTTATTTATTACTAATATATTCAAAATTGTATTTCATAATGTAAAAGATCTTAAGCACTGTCGTCCAATAAAGAATATCATATTAATTTCATCGAATAATTTTATTTCATTTAAAAAATATGGCAATTATGCATAAACAATGATATTTTTCAAACTACTACTTTATTAACATAGAAAATATAACTTACAAGCATTTTATTATCTGTATCACTCTAATTGGGAAAGAAACATTGAAAATAAACCCCAAGAAAAAAAAATAGAAGACTTCATAGAATTGATATTCCCTGCAGCATTAATCCCCCATCAGCTTTCAACCTGCTTGAAAATTTAAAAAAAAAAACAAGACATTAAATAAAATAATCATAAAAATTAAAAAAAAATCCTTATTAACCATCCCTTTTTAATTCTTATACCCATACTTATCAACTCATGATGAGCAACAGAGCATATATAGAAGTTTGTTCTTCACGATCTTATTGTGCTATTTGTACTTGTTAAGTAATTATTACAAGTTTATAATTAAGAGAAAATTAATATGCAAGTTTTTTATAACTTTACCTTATTTTCAATTAAGTCATTGTGATTTTTTTTTTTTGGAGGTTTTTATAACTTTCCCAATAATAGGTATTGATTATACCCACAACACTATAAAAAAATAAAAAAGAATTTTGGCTCGACACCTGTTGCTGCCAAAAGGTCATTGTTCTAACTATTGTTGAATGATAATAGTCCGTTTGGTTTGAGGAAACCAAGATAAAACGACGAGAGAAAAAAATTTTAATGAGTTTGATTTTAAAAAAATTGAAGAAATGTAATTATAAAAATTTAATAAAGAGAAAATTTAAAATAAAAGAATGAGAAAATTAATTGAAGTTGAGGTTTTCATGTTCAGGGAGTGGATTATCCTTTTTTGTTTTCCATTTTTCTTTTTCATTATCCTCATTTATATTCAATAAGCTTAATGAAATTCAATGTGAAGAAGGAAGGTCCTAGAGGCCGGATATGTCATTGAACAACTTGAGACAGTAATTTAAGAGTTAGTAATACACTGAATTGAGATCAACTCAATCATAATCAAAATAATATAATATGATGAAAATATATAAAAAATATTCATGTACAATCATAAAAAGAATAATGTATAAATAAAAATATTAATTCACATGTAAATAGAATATTTATATATAAGTCACATATAATCTAACAAAACAAAGTTACCAAAACATAAATATGAACTTAATGTTATTTTTTTTCAACTCAAAATGATATCTTGAGCTTAACAAAGTGGGGAAAAAAAATTGAACCTGATCGACGACCCCTTTCAAAATTCTTGACCCAACCGGTAGGGATTAATTTACCAATTTGATCACTGGTTTGATCGAACAATCCATGTTGAATTTTAATACTATGTGAAGAAGTATGATAAAATTACCTTAGCATATGAATAGGCTCGAAGGATTCACTTTGAATCATGAGGACCGGCTAATTCTGCAAGAGTTGGTTTATTGCTCTTCTTTGACTCTGAAGTTTTAGAAGAGGGATAAGTGTTGCCATGACCAGCATTTCCAACAACATCTGATTTGTTGCCCTTGCCTGAGCCTGAAGCTTTAGAAGGGCTCTTATAGGTTTCACCATGCCCAGCATGGTCACCCAAATCTTTACCGCCATTGTTTTGCTTCTTAGAACTCATTTTGCCTCTAACAACACCAGATATTGCTTCACACAATCTTCTTGTGTTTTTTTGCCTTCAATTATGTAAGTTGATCTTTATTTATATAGAACTTAGACGTGTGTCCTAATGAACATTTTTGTGAAAATGTGCCCAATGTTCTTTCAAGTTTCATCAAAATTTTCTCAAGTTTTCGGAACACAATGTGAGCATTAATTTAATCAGCTTATTAACACAGTCAAAGATTAATGAAAAGTTTATGCAAATGAAAGTCTCGTAAATGGCTAGCTACTTATTCTTTGCACCTCCAACTTTATTAATTCCATTAATCTTAAATAAAGGAGCTGGATAATTAATTTAGAGATTAAATTTTTTTAATGAAATTAACTATTTGTAAAAATATGGGTTGGTTTCATAAAAGAACTTCTTCAATTATTTGCATTTGAAACTACTTGAAGGATGAAAAGATTGTAGTTTTATATTTAAAATCAAAGCAAATCTCTTTACTAGTTCTTACATTTAAAATCAAAGAGAGCGTAATTTTTTCTGTAGCTTTCTAAGCTTTTTTCAAAAAAAAAAAAAAAAAAACGAAAAGTGTAACCCTAAGCGTACGAAAATGAAAATTTAGTGAAACTGCGTCTATATTTCTTCAAAGTTTTATCAAAATTTTACGGAAGTTCTCAAACAAAATCCAGGCTTATACAAGTTTACTTATTCAAATGGTCAAAGTTTTATGAAATATTTCCTGAAACGATCTGTACATTCCCATTGAAAGTGTGTCCACACTACTGCTTGCAAGCGCTTGACTATATATGCACCAAATTGTTTATTAACTACAAGAAAACCATCCTTTCATAAGAAAATTGGGAAACAAATCCTCCATTAAAAAATTTTAATTTGTTGGTGATAAGAATTTAAATCAAAGTACTTGTACTTTGTTTATGCAAAATTCAGAAAGTACAAAAACTTTATGTATAGAAATTTATCAGGTTCTTCTCATCAATAAAATTTTTAATGAAGATTTTTCTGTTTCTTTTTCTATTTTAATTGCATGGATTCATTAATGAAAAGAATTTCCCATGACATCACTACAATTTCTGATGAAAATTCCCGTAAATTTTATCCTAAAAACAATATTTCGTGAGACATTTGCGAGAAAATACATAAGGAAGGTAGCATATATTGGGGGAGTGAAGTGAAGTAAAAAGGTTCTCACAAATTTTCCAAGTATTTCCCACAAAATAATTACGAGAAAATAAGGAAAATTTTCATTAATTAAATTGTTGTCGAGGGTGTGTATTATATGTATTATAAAAAGGCTTCTCACACTCATTCGTAATTTCTAAGTTCAAACAAATGGGCATTATATCTATGTGGTATTATTGTATTAATAAAATTGGTAAATGTTTAGTTTATTAATTTTACAACAAATTTTAATTTAGTCCTTTAATTTTATAAAATACTTTTCAGCCATGAAATCTTAAGTCTTAATACTATTAGTGTCAAAATATGATTTTTGTGACCATCGTTATTAGTTCGAAAATTAAACTTAACATGTCATTGTTTGATATATTTTGTGAATATTAAAAATTTTAACAGAAGCATTTTTTTTGTTGATGAAACCAATGGTGTGTTAATTTATAGAACTCAAAAGACAAATTTGTTGATTACCTAAAAAAAAAAAAAACAAAGAAAGAAAAACAGACAAAGCAAATAAAACAGAAATATAAAGGTAGACTCCTCCCATCGTTATGTGAAAACTACTTAACTTTTTTTTTGGTCCAAAGTGAAAACTACTTAACTACTTAGATATATTAAGAAAGTTAAATAAATTATTTAATTTTAACAAAATTGACATATTCTCCTAAAAATATCCCTATATGTCGTTGGATTATATATATATATATATATCATTTTATGAGTTAGATAAATTAGTTTGAAGAACATTAATAAACATGATAGATAAAATAGACTGAAGTTTTACAAATTTATTACCAAAAACTAACTTCCTAACTACCCCTTTACATTTAGGAAGTATTCTAGTTCTAACTAAGAGAGTAGACTCTATGAAATTGTTTTCTTTTATAATATATGTCATAATTTATGATTATTATTCAATAATTTTTCAAAGCAGAGGCATGAGATCGATGTTATATTTATTTTTAAAATCATTTTTATCTTCCCCCCCCCCCGAATTAACTCTATTTTTTGTAATCAATAGACAATTATATGAAAAAGAAAAGTTTCAAAACTTTACTATGTGTATTTATGAAGAAAAAAAATTTTTTTTTTGGCCTGCTGAAGAAAAAAAACTTTATTAAGGCTGGCTTGCATGAATGAAAGTTAGAATGGCGGTTATTATTGTATACAAATAATGATACCTTTTTTTACAAAATTATAAAAACTGAAAAAAAAAATTGATGAAAATTAAATGGAACTATAATAATTTAACAACAAGAAAAAGTACAGAAACCTGATTAAAAGTCAGATAAAATTATAAATATTTACCAAAAAAAATAAAGCTAAAGGGACCAAATTCAACAGTAGGAAAAAATTATAGAAATCTTTGGTGCTTTCTATTTTTTTACCCTCAATGGACAATTGGCCACAACATAAGTCCAAGTTTTAAAATGTTTTTAAGCTTAAGCCCAAAGTTCATTTAAATATGGTGCGGGCCTCTGAAGAGAGGATTAGGCCGTTAAAAGTGTTTTGGGCTTTGCGAGTCAAATCTAGGGTAGGGTTTACTAGCGGTTGCAATTCGCCTACATACCTTTCTACTTTCAGTTCCCCCAAGCCTTGTTTGATCTTTTGCTTGGCATTCGTACTCTAGAGCAGACGTCGGCCTTCTCATCATGGTATTTTCTTCCTCTCTGCAATTTTCATTCTGTTGATTAGCGATTCGTGATATGTACATTCTGCTTCCCTACCTTATGGCTTAAATGAAGTATAATGAAACGGGACATGATGCATGTCTCTTTTCTGTTGGGGATTTGAATGATACGTTCTTCACTCTGTTGAATCTGGGTTGAATTTGTAATGGCTGGACTTTTCTACTTAAAAAACGGAAGGTCGAATGATAACTTGTTCTCTCTCTGGTTCCCCCCCCCCCTTTCCTTGGACTCGTTGTAGAATGAATAGAAAACCGTACTGGAGTTAATTTGTAGAAAATGACAGAAAACGGGAATGAAGGGAATTTGGAAATTGGAAGTGTGTTGTTATCCTTATAATATGAATATGAAGGCTAAAATATTTTGTTGCTTATAAATGGCGTGTATATAGTTAAGATCAAGAGGAGCTCTACTATGAACCCTAAAAGCAGTGTGTTACGTGCATTTTCTGAGATCTTCACTGAATTCTTTGGGGGGCTTATGTATTTCCGGATGTAGATGTTTAATTTCATAGAAATCAGCTATTTTATCAACCGCTGCTAATTAGTCATAGCTTCTCAACTTTTGGGTATCTGTTTAATTACTCGTTGAATTCGTTGTTGGGGTTTGTATACCCAGCTGTAGGAATTGAATTAGACAGAAGTCAGTTACTGTATCAGCTAATTAGTTATAGCTTCTTATTTCATCGTTACTTTTAGCTAGTCTTCTTGCTGCTATAGGTTCTTTTATGATTGAACGTGCATATTACTGGTTCGGGTCCTTTTTTATATGTCTACGCTGACACTTAAAGTTGCATTGCAATTTTCAATTTGTTAATCTATGGTGTTAGAAGATCTGGGCTTGTCAATTGATGTTTTGCAGGATGTGATAACATGTTTGAAGACGTTGTTGATTCTTCAAAATTTAGTCTCAATTTTTTTTCCCGCCAACAATGCATGATGTGATTACAGATTAGCGCTTTAAAACATGATATGGGTTTGATTTCAGTGCTTGTCATAATATGTGTCAAATTCTGATAGTTCTCAGCATATTAACATTAACATTTCTCTTAGATAAGAATATAAAAAATAAAAATGTTGTGCATTCTACGCAGCCTAAGCAAATCCACGAGATTAAGGATTTCCTCCTTACTGCAAGAAGGAAGGATGCAAGGTCAGTGAAAATCAAGAGGAGTCGAGATGTTGTCAAATTCAAGGTCCGATGCTCCAAGTATTTGTACACACTTTGTGTGTTTGACCCAGAGAAGGCTGATAAGTTGAAGCAATCACTTCCTCCGGGTTAGAAAAGATGAATGGTCCCGTCCTTTATTTGATGAATGTCAGTTGGATCCTCTGTAGTCTATACATTGGTACAAATGAGCGTAATTGTACATGCATTCATACTGAACTTGACATTTTAAAGAATAAGCCACCTGCATCTAGACAGATGTCACAGTGATTGAAATTACACAGAGACAATTGAAACTTTTATGTTGTGTCTGTTTTATATAAATGTTCATGCCTTCTTTGGGTGCTGTGTCATATTGGATGCCACACTATAACTTGTATTCCTCTTTTTGATCGCAGGTTTGAGCGTTCAAGATCTGTGAGAGCTATGGAAGAGCAAACGGTTTTTTTTGTTTCTTATGTTTTATTTTGGTGTTGGTTTCTTAGTTATTCTCTAGTGCCTTGTATCAAGAGAATGGTTTGCTGCCATGTTTGGATGGTGTATTTTTGTCTTTAAACATGATTTTGTGGGCCGCTTATTTGGAAAAGGAATGAAATTTCGTTTTGTCTGGATATATAGGCTATGTTTGGATTGCCGATTGGGGTGCCAAACGTACGTTCAGTAGAACAAAGCTACGTTAAGGTGTGTTTGGGTGACACCCCAAACCATGGTTTGGGGAATAATCTACCCAAACACCCCCTCCAAAAAACCCAAAACCATGGTTTTGGGTCAAAACCATGGTTTTGGACTCCAAAACCATGGTTTGGAAAAAGCAAAATTTTTTGCTTTTGGAAAAAAAAAAAGAGAGAGTGTGAGGGCTTATATAATATGTATCTTATTTTTTTTTTATAAACATATTTTTTAAAATATAATTTTAATTATATTTATAAAAATATATTACACATTAATTATTTATTAATTATATTATTTATGTATTATTTAATTAGGTTGTAAAAAACAGATTATTAACAATTTTATTCCTTCAAATTAAAATATATCATAAAATCTATTTTTTCTGTAATTATCATATTAACTTATGTCTTTTTTTTAGTAATTTGTATATATAAAAGTGTTTCTGATAACAACTATCCAAACACTCTCACTTCTCAGAATCACTTTTTTACAAAATCTATTCTTCACAGAATCTATTTTCCCCAGAATCTATTCTCCAGAATCACTTTTCCAAATCACGGTTTGGTTTCATCCAAACACACCCTTAGTCAAATTTTCTTGTTGGGATCAGCAGTAGCTCATAAGTTAGGGAAAATAACACTGAAGGTCCCATGCAACACAAGATACTACAAAATGGTTTCAGGAAATTTGGTAATGATTCTGAAGTTCCAAAAGGACTTGAGTGCAATTTGATGAATTGTAAAAAGATGTTTCTGTTCCTGATGAGATGCAACCACAGTAACTAAATGCTATCCTGTTTTTCAGTCTGAAAATCAGCACTCAATACACAGGAAACAAGAGGGAAAAACCCAAATTTTATTCTGCTTCTTCTCCCATTTCCATATAAAATCTCATCCATTTCATTAGCATCAATCATTGGCAAAAATCGCTTGTGTTTTTGGTTTTGGTGTGTATTTGGTCATTCAAGTTGGGGTTTTATTATACATGGGTTAGGGTGATTAGGGATATTCTGTTTCTGGATATATTGTGAGTGGTTGTGAAAAGTGGGCTTCCTTTGTCTGGGCATGATTCAGAGGGAATTGATGAGAAAGATGAAGGTTGATATGATTAGAAACTTACTGTGAAATAGGAAAATATGTTGTCAATATAGATCGTGATAGTTATCAATATAACTCTTTGACTTGTCAATAGTAATACTGTTGTATAGATTTAAATTAACTAATTTTTTAAATTTTTCACACAAAGGCGATAACCTTCTATACCCTTGACTTATTAGTAGAGGTTACAAAAAGAGGGAGAAAAAACAACGAAGGAGGGTGAGCAGTCACATAAGGCAAAAGATAAAAAAATGAAAAAAAAAAAAACCACTTTAATCCTAGATAAATGATGGCAAAATAATTTTTTTGTAAATAGAAGTGGCATGAATTTTTTTTTTGTAAATGTCACAATACACACAAACAATTAATTGGATACTAGATACATGCAATTATATTTTTTTTTAATGGGTTATGAAATTGGTGTAATTACATGTATATGATGTAATAAATGAAAGTTAGCTGTTTATTACATTCTGATACATAGTTAATTGTCATTATCTGTACCCTTTATTATCAATATATGTTTCATCACTCGTCACTCACTGTACCATTAGTTGTCAATTAATGTGCTAATATAATTTTTTAAAAAAAATGATTTTACGTTACATGATGTTATACACCGTCATACAATATCACTAATTCCTCAAAACTAATCCATTTTTTATAATGTGATATAAAATACTGCCTCTGGTCCTTAATATAAGACTTTGTTTGACTTTTATTCTAGTCCTAAATATAACACTCCAATCTACTTTATCGCTCATATTTATCTATTTTTTCTAAGATAGTCCTTCTAATAATGTAATAATAGTTCTAAATAATAAACTTGGTTGGCAAGGATATTTTAGGAAAAATAATACCTATTCATTACAAATAACTAACTTAACTAAGTTTCTAAGTCTCCCCAAATTAGTCAATTGGGTCTTATAATTAAGACCGGAGGTAGTAGTTATTAAAAGTCAATCATCACTGATATGAAGTCATAAAATTACTTGTCATGAACAACATATTCACTTGTTAATGGTCTTAGTGTAACTTGTCAATGATTGTATTATCATTTGTTAATTTATTTGCTGATATAAGTTTTAAAAAAATGTGAATTGAAGTTATATAATGTCTATATTGATACATGAGTTTTCTTTTTTGCTAACCTAAGTTACTTTCTTTGTTCTGGTTTATAATAAGGACTACTTAATCTTTTAATATTGAACATTTTTTATAATGATTGTTGTGGTATTCATGTCTCTTTAGGGTTATAATATTTATTTCTAAAAAAACAAAAAGTAAACCAATTCTCAAAATCATACATGTCAACAGGAAAATTGTCAAGTTATTGTACCACTGTTAATAAGTCAAGATGCAAACATTAGCAATTGATGCAATGAACATTAATTCAAATTTGCAATTCTATTATATTTCACTTAAAATAGAATTATTATATCATCTTATATCATATCATAATCAAAATGTGTTGCTGAAATTTATGTTAATTAAATAACATTTTCCCCCCCCAAAACTTAAGCAGATTCACAACGACGTTATTGACAAATCACAATACCACCATTAACAAGTGAATGCGCTATTCATAATAAGTGATTTTATGACTTCATATCAGTGGCGACTGACTCTTAATAACGATTATATATCACATTATTAAAAAAATGAATTCGTTTTGAGGAATTAGTGATATTGTATGACGTTATATAATATTATGTAACGTAAAATCTTTTTTTTTTCAAATTTATATCAGCACATTAATTGACAACTAATGGTACAGTGAGTGACAAGTGACGAAGCATATATTGACAATAAAAGGTGCAGATAATGACAACTAACTATGCATCAGAATGTAATACACAGCTAACTTTCATGTACAACTTTATATACATGTAACCAATTTCATAACCATTAAAAAAACATATAGTTGCATATAACCAGTATCAAATTAATTATTTGAGTGTATTGTGACATTTACAAAAAAAAAATATGTCACTTCCATTTACAAGAAAATTCTTCTGCCATCATTTATCTGAGATCAAAGTGGCTTTTTTTTTTTTTTTTCATTTTTTTTTCTTTTGCCTCATGTGACTGCTCACCATTCTTCATTGCCTCTTCTTCTTCTTTTTGTAACCTCTACCAATGACTCAAGGGTATAGAAGGTCATGGCCTTTGTATAAAAAATTTAAAAAATCAGTTAATGTAAATCTGCACAACACTGTTACTATTGACAAGTCAATGAGCTATATTGACTACTGTCGCAACCCATATTGACAACATATTTTCCTATTTCGCAGTAAGGGTTTCTAACCACACCAACCTTTATCTTTCTCATCAATTCCCTGAACCATGCCTAGATAGAGCAAGCCCACCTTTAACCCACCTACAATATACCCAGAAACAGAGCACCCATAATCACTCTATCCATCTATAATAAAATCCCAACTTGAATGACGAAACACACACCAAACCAAAAACACAAGCGATTTTTGCTAATGATTGACATTAACGGAGTGGATGAAATTTTTAGATGAGAATGGAAGAAGAAGCAGAATGAAGTTTGGGTTTTTTTCCCTCTTACTTCCTGCATATTGAGTGCCGATTTTCAGACTGAAAAACAGGGCAGCTTTCAGTTACTGTGGGTGCATCTCACCAGGGGCAGAGGCGTCTTTTTACAATTCACCAAATTGCACTCAAGTCCCTTTGGGACTTCAGAATTATCACCAAAATTTCTAAGACCTTTTTGTAGTATTTTGTGTTACATGGGACCTCTGTCATTTTCCCTGCAAGTTATTTTGCTTCATAACCTGTGTCAGGGCTGCGGCTATTTGTTTTTTGTTTTTTACTTTCACGTTAGGTGAGCTGGGTTTCGTTGGGTTGCATGAGTACTTTCCAGATTTGTCCTCCTTTCTTTTCTCAAAATGAAGCCTCCCTCTTCTCTCTTATTGTACTATGTGAATGTGGGCTGGGTTTTAAGGTTTTTTTTTTGTGGCTGTGTTTTATGTTTTTTTTTAATTTGACTTTTTTAATTAGAAAAATCGTATTAAAGACTCTGGAATTTTTAAAACACAGATAAGGACCCGTGACAACTTCACTATAGCTTTTAACAATAATTATAATGAAGTTGTCATGGGTCCTTATCTGCGTTTTTCAAATTCCAGGGTCTTTTTTTGCTATTTTTCCTTTTTAATTAGATTTTCTACTGCCTTTAATCTTTTAATTATTTGTTTTTATTTGTAATTTTTATATATTTATTTATTAAATATATATAATTATTTGTTTTTAAATATATTTACAAGTTGTATATATATAATATATCATATTTGCTCCTTGATATAAGACCTTAATAGATTAATTTGAGTAGATGAAAAAAACTAAATAATTACTTAATTATATTATATATTCTATGATCTTTCTAAAATATTTATGTATATTATTAAATTATATATTACTTTATCAGTCAATTAAATTAATTAAATATAAATACTTTATAGTAATTTATTTAATTTTTTCAATCTTCTCAAATTAGTTAATTGAGTTTTTTTTAAAAAAAAACTCATGTCATTTTCAATTTTACATCTAAATTTACTTTTTAATTATCTATCTAAACAAGTTTTAACTTTTTAAATTGATTTTTTAGAAACATCAATATGAAGATAAATTATATTACAATAATTGACTTTTATTTTTATCTATTTTTACAAAAATCAGATAGAATAAACGTCAGTTTTCTCATTGTTAATCCAAACACACTTATAGTCAAGTAAGTTTGAGATTAAGAAGGGTTAGATATTATGTTGATTCCTCAATTATGTAAAATGATACAGTGATACAGCGCATTTTGGTG